GAACCCCACTCCACGCTGTGTGCCTTTCCACTTTGCCTTTTGCTTGTAGGACTTAGGCACAATTCTTCTCCCTCTGGCTCCTCAAGTGGAGAAATCTGTGCCATGACTCAGCACTGCTCCCCTGCTCCCTACTGGGCCCCCACAGCTAGGGCTCTGTGCCCTCAAGCCTTGCGCCCTGGTACTGTAGAGGGTTCAGAATGAAGTTCATTTGCTCACACACTTTCTTCCTTTGGGCCTTACTTAGGACTTCTTTTGCTGTGGTCAAAGAGCATGTCAGAAAGCAACTTGCAGAGGAAATGGTTTAGTTCTTCTTACAGCTTTCAGGCCACAGTTCTGAGAGAAGTCGGGCCAGGAACTCAAGCCCGAAGCCCAGAGGCAGGAACTGAAGCAGACTCCATGGAGGAGTGCTGTTATTGGCCTGCTCATTCTAACACAAATCAGGACTACTTGTGTGGGGTTGGCACCACCCACAGTGGCCCTCTTATATACAAGCATTAATCAAGAAAATGTCTGGCAGGCTTGCCTGTAGGCCAGTCTTAGGGAGATATTTTCTCAACTGAGAGTCCCTCCTGCCTAAAGACTCTAGCTTGTGATAAAGTTGACAGAAACGCAACACAGCTACAGACAAGGGCCCCACAAGTGTGGTAAAGGCATCTCAGGGAGGATGAAACTGACACAGTAGTAGGAAGCCTTTATTTGTAATGGTCGGTAGCCTCATGCCTCACATTATATATTTGTTGCTATAAAACTCATATCACAATTTCCTAAACCTTGATTTGAGTTTTGTGATTAGGAGCAACAGAATTGTAACTATGACATTTCCTCCATTTATATAACAGAGATACTCTACGATCAGGACATAAAACACTTAGCCCACTGGACAGGCGTGTGTCTGATATCCTTATAAAAGTTAATGACTTTTCTCTGAGTCCTTCTACCCTTGATTTCCTTTTTAAGAATAGTATCTTATTTGTTTCTTGAGAATTTCATATAACATATTTTGGTTATATTTATCTCCACTCCTCTCAGATCCACCCCCACTTCATGTCCTTTTTTAAAAATAGCTTCCTGATTCCAATTTTTCCTCTTATATACTCCTGTTTGTAAGGCTATCTACTGGAGCCTATCCCTCCCCTAGGAGCCATCCACAATCTGTAACTCCACAGATAGGATTTGACTCATAAGCCCCCTCCCACTCCTTCCTCGAATGTTGAGTGGTCTGATCTTGTTCAGATCTCACAGGGGCCACCACAGCTGCTGTGAGTTTCCGAGTACAGCAGCCCTGTCCTGTCCAGAAGACACTTTTTACTCCGGTCCTCCCTGACTTTTGTCTCTTACAGTATTTCCTTCCCTTCTTTGGTGACTGAGATTTGGAGAAGGGGTGTGGTATAGATGCCCCGTTTATGACTCAGCACTCCACGGCACTGACACTTACTGTTCTCTGTGCTTTGACTAGTTGTGAGTTACTGTGTTAGCCACTGTCTGTTGCACAAAGAAACTTCTCTGATGAGGTCTGAGAGCAACACTAATCTATAAGTAAAGAGATAGAAATTTAAATGGAAGTTTGATCCTGTGCCCATTTAGCAACATAATAGGCTCATGCCTGGAGTCTAGAAGCTTCACAGGCATGGATTTGGGTCCAGATTTGCAGTACCAGGTGTGTGTGTGTGTGTGTGTGTGTGTGTAGCATACCTTAAAGCCAATCAGAAAATGATTGGTTACCCTCATGACACTGTGCCACTATTACACCACTGGACATATTTTGCCACATTGGTTGTTATTGCGGTTCATAAGGTTCACAGCTGAGTAAGATTGAGAATGACTTTTTTCTTCATCAGCCAACATAGCACCTTCTAATGCTATAAAAACAAAGCAGCAGAGAGAAGCCTCCTAGTCAGCATGAGCTTGATTTCTCTTTGTTCTATAGCCAGTATGTGCAATGTTTTAACATCAACTACGATTGGGAAACTAAAAGAAGTGGCAATAGCCTGTATTTTGGGGCTGGGGGTTCCTCTGGGATGCCTATGACCAAAACTTGGGGGAACAAAATGTATCCAACATCTGACGGTGGGTTCTTTATTTGGTAGTTCATGGCTTCTGGGCTGAGCATAAGCCCCTGTGTAGAGTCACTCCAAGTAAACTCTTACAGAAATGTAAGTATGAATTTATAAAAGCATAGGTTTCCATATTGGTTTCTTAAATGTTCTTAGTGTTAGTTATCCATAACTCCCCCTCCCTCTCCTTACTTAAACTTCATCCCCATTACTATCCTTTCCCCTAATATTAGTGTGCCATCCCTAATTCTAAGTCAGGATTTCCACTGGGTTCCCCTTTATAAGCCAGGGCAGTTTTTACTTCCCAACTCAATAATTTCTGTTGCCTGTTTCTTTATCATTTAAAGGGGGTGCTTCGTGTAGTCAGGCATGCTGACAGTGTCCAGTGAATGTTAGAAGATATGGGAGAATTGATGAAGAAACTATGTTACATTGCATTGACATAACAAAGGGGGGTCTTCTGTTCATCCGCAGAATAGAGAGAAAGCAGTGTTACCCACAAATCAATGGTGGGAGGTGGAGCTGGCTTTGACACTTGCTTCTTCTTAGGGGATTCCTCACAGACAAGTTCCTTATGTCTCTGACCTTCAGTGTTTTCTCTGTAGAATGGTGCCATGCTGATGAAATGAGATGAAAAATCACAGCATAAGCTCTATAACTCTTCCTTGGGAAGAGATGCTAGCAGTCAAAGGCCTACTTGACATTGTGACATGAACTGTGAACTGTAGCAGGGGAGCTGCGGGCTGCGCTCCTGCCCCGCCCGGCTCCTGGCCGCCTGGCTAGCTTATGCCCCGAAATAACAACACACAAATTGTATTCATATAAACACTGTTTGGCCCATTTCTATTAATGTGTGTAGCACCACGAGGTGGTGACTTACCAGGGAGATTCTAGCCTACATCCTTCTTGGGTCAGAGCTTCATCGTGTCTGCCCTGGAGAACAGTGGCCTGGCATCTGAGCTCACTTCCTCTTCCTCCCCATTCTGTTCTGTTTACTCCACCCACCTATGTTCTAACCTATTAGGCCAAGCAGTTTCTTTATTAATTAACCAATGACCTCCATCAGTGAACTGCTACTTGGAAGAGATTCTGGAAAATCTACAGTGTGCTTCTCTCCCTATATCAGATGCTTCCCATCATCCAGGGAAGTCAGTGAGCTAAGTTGAGCCAGAGGAGGATACTTGGAGGCAAAGGAAAGGATCTTATCTTTTCATAATTCACAACAGCACTTGCGGTACCCCCTTTGGCTTGTCTGAGAACTCATAAATGCAACTCTGGATGATGAGTATTCGGGTTCATGCATGTTAGGCACCTACCTTTCTTTCTCATTATTGTAAATCACAGACTAAAATGTCTCCTCTCAAATGAGTTCTTGCAAATGTTTGGAGAGCTTGTGCTAGTAATTATCCAGTATCTGTACACATATACGTGGTTAGGACGGACCAGCAGTGAGCACTTTAGAAAGATTTTAAAGATACAATGAGAATGAGAGCAGATCACATGCAGTTAGGAAAGAGGCAAGGCCTGTGATGGCTTCTCACCTCTCTGGGCATCTTCTCCTTGTACTCTGAGGATCCTTCGATTGAGGAAATAAGAAATGACAGTTTCTGTGAATATGTACTCAAAACAGACATACTTTTGTCTGGAATTATGTGATCTCTGCATCCTCCTCACACTTCTGTCTTCCCCCACTCACAAACACCTGCCATTCTATTTCATCACTTGGCTTCACATATTTTCCTTAAGGAGTTTGCATGGCAAATTCTCCCTCATTTCTGAACTCAAGATATACTTTTATATAACGTTGTTCTAGTTTAAATCTTGTTAAGGAAAAAAAAAAGTTGTGGAAAGTAATTTTAAAAACTACATCAGTGGTTAAATGTTTGTTTTTTTTTAAATTCTGGGGGCGTGTCCTTTAATTGAGGGCAACTTGAAGACTGGGTGGTATATTAACTCGAGAAATGAGGTGCTACAGTGTAGAGGCGTAAGCTCCATATTTGTGTGTGGGTGTGTTAACCGTGAAGACAAGTTTGAGGACCCCTTCAAGTCACATAAAGCAGAGGACACTTTCAACACTCCCCTGACATTTCTAACCACATTTATGTTCAAGTAATTAAAAATCTCCAAGGACCTGCAGTATTTTTCTCTGCCATTCCTCTTGGCTTCAAATAATCAACAGGTATAAAGGGAAAACATTACAGAACAGAATCTCACTGGACATGGTAGTCACACCTCTGTTCTCTGCGTTTGGGCGGCAGAGGGAGGAAGATCATCACAGCTTTAAGTCCAGCCTCATCTACATGGCGCATTCCAGGCCAGCCAAAGCTACATGGCAAGACCTATCTCAAAATGAAACAAAACTTGATTAAGGCTCCAGAGTTACTAAATTTTAAACTTTTAAATCTAAAACATCATACATTTTGTGCAGAGCTTTGCGAGGTCAGGCAGGCCTGAAAGGTCATCTCTCTTCAGAATCTGGTCTGATACTGCCACCTCACACTGTGCTTCAGTGTAAGAGAATCTTAGAATGTTTTCTGTGATAACAAAAGCTTCTCATCTCTGAAAATAATGTTCCAAACACGAGTCACTAAAACAGCTATCATTTCTAAGGTTCTCAAAGTCCTGTTCTCCCAGAATTCCTGGAAAGTTCAGTAGCTGTTCTACAGGATAGACACTGTGCTCCAAGGAAAGTGGACAGACTGACTGAAGGCTGCAAAGGGGTCTCCCAAGTGAGGAAGGGGGACTTTTGTCCTGGGGTAAAGTGAGACCCCTTTCCCACCACTTAGCTACAGGAAAGCCTCCTCGTCAAGGTGGGTAGGAGCTTAAGCTGCCATCAAGCTCCTGGCTAGAACGGAAGGAGCAGTGTGGTTATGCTGTGATTGATGTTACCCCGTGATGTGTATACTCTGTTAGACAAGCTGCTTTTTTCCTGTGTTTCTCTCACAGGCAGCCCGGTTGCGGGAGAGGACTCTCAGCTGCCTGTTCTGCCTAGCCCCCATCACATGCCTCCCCACTGGAGCTGACCACAGACCAGCATCTCCACAGCATGAATAATTAGGTAGGCATAATGGAAGGCACTCACTGCACCCTCCAGTTGCATAACCCGGTCACTGAACTCTGCTATATCAGCTTCTATCTTCCGAAGGGGGAAGTCAGAGGATTTTCGTACAAGGGCACTGTAACTCTAGACAGATCCAATAACTCTTTTCATAACTGCTACCAAGTCAGGGAGGGGCCAGACATCACCAGCCTCAGCCAGCAGCCGAACGAACATCCCGGCGACATATTTTTCAAACAGACTCCCACGAAAGACATTCTGACAGAGCTATACAAGCTCACAGCAGAGAGGGAGAGGCTGCTGGACAGTCTGCTGAGGTCAGAGCACATCCTGGGCATTTCAATGGGGAACCAGGAAGGGAATTTGCAGGAGCTGTCTGTGAGCCTGGCTCCCGAGAAAGACTGCTTCCTGAGTGCTGGCAACCGGAGCAGGGAGCTCCCTGTGAACTTGCTCATTAGGAGGAGCACCCAAGGGAGCAAAAAGCCCCGGAGGTCTGGCAAGAGGAGAGAGAGCCCTGAGGAGCTCCGGCAGAAGAGAACCAGGAGGAAAGGGCGTGGCCGCCAGGAATCAGCTCCTCCGATGGGGAAGGACCAGGTCTGTTCCAGTAGCTCCCTTCCTCCTCCCCGTGTTAGGCCTAATCTTCGACTCCTAGAAGAAACAGGAAACTTAGTTCCTCAGGAAACACTTACCTCTTCCCCACGGAGGAGGAGAGAGAGCTGCCCTGCCAGCATCCTCAGGACACCAGATGCAGACCTGGGCTTCGGGAGCTCTGGGAAGACCTCAGAGGACACCGAACATGAAGGACCTCTGTCCCCTGACAGCAGCCTCGCCGAGGTAGGAGATGCAGGCATAGGAAGGCAGCTCAAGAGTCCTCGCGAGCAGGAGCCTCCATGTTTGCCTGAAAGCCATGAGAAACATCCAGGGGCAGAGAGGGGTGGGACTCCGAAGCCAAAGTCATTGGAAAGGACTTGCAGGAAGAAGCCTGTTTCCAAAGTGGTGGCCAAGGTCCAGGAGCCGTCTGCTCAAGTCCAAAGAGTGGTTAGGGCTCATTCTGATGGTGAGGAAAGGGTTGCCTTTTGCTCAGATACCCAAACTGAGTTTATCCCTAAAGCTGACTTCCTCATCCTCTCAGGAGCTAAGGATGAGACTCAAAGTCCCAGGAGACTGGGGAAGGAGCAGCAAAGTGTCAAGTCACTGCAACCCTTGGCAGCAGAAAGAGCCTCCATTCCCAGGGAAGCAGCCAGCACTGAGGGAGCTGTGAACAAGGTTCTCCGGAAGGTGATAGAGAGTGAGAAGGTAGATGAAGCCACCGAGGGGAAAACACTAGGCTTCTCTCTCAACACAGGGGCCATCCACTCTTTCCCAGAAACTAGAAGCCAAAGGAAGACCGGGCTACCCCAGAGCACCCATAAATTCTTGCTTCTGGATCTGCCCCACACTGTAGGTCCTGATTCTCCACAACCCAAATGCGATGAGAGGAAGCCAAGCCCCCAAGCCCCAACAGCTCTCGGCATGGTATTTAATAATTCATCGCCTCAGTCCAGCGCACATAAGCGGCTGTCACCTGTTCCCTCGCCTGTGTCTCCAAGGTGCCCCAGCCCGCAGCAGCACCACAGGATCCTCCTGCTTCCTCCACTGCCTAGCGAGGGAGAAGCTGTGTTTAATGAGTGCCCTGGTAGGAAGAACCTTGTCTCCTCTGGGTTTCCCTCTGCTGTCACCTTGGAGCCATCATCTTCTACAAAGGTCACGGAGACCAAAGGAGGCACCCCGCCTTCCCTCAGAGCAAGCCAAACTTGGCTGGTATCTGAGGAAGCACCAGAAAAAAGCTTGAGGCCAGAGAAGATCACAGCCCCACCTCAGTACCAGCCACCACCAGGTTAGTCTCTGTTTACGCTGTTTTTGACCTGCATCTGGGAAATTCAACTGCAATTGTTCCGCCTCTGCTGTTGCAAGACTAGATGGTTAACAATGGACTGATATTGCTAGGAATGTCCATTCGCTTGGTAACAAGGAAACTGGGATTTGTGCACGGGGTATGGGAATGGCAAAGATACTCTTGATCCAGAGGACTAAGAATGCAGTTTTTTTTTTTTAGAAGCAATAGTTTATATGAGCTTTTGAGTATTGTTTGTGTGTTTGTTTATCTATTTATTTGTGGTGCATAAAGTTGCCTCCAAGATTGCTTAACACCCAGACTCGAAAGGAGCAGGCAGAGAAGCAGCAGCTTGTCTCTACCTTTGATGTCAGCATTGAGTAATTGGCCCATTGACCTAAATTCTAGTGGTGATGCTATTGATGTCATTCTAGGGAATCTCTAAGAAGAAGGGCAGAGGCATGCTGTTTTTACTCAGATGTCTGGAGGTTCGGTTTTGTTTTCTATAGTTTTGTGTCATGATTTATGACAAAAAAAAATACTTTTGTTACCAGAAAGGAAGCATCCAATCTAAGATGAAGATATGTGGGTGTATGGTGTGCTGGCCCATGCCTATAGTTCTAGCAGTTGGAAGGCTGGGGTAGGGAATCACAAGTTTAAGGCTGGCCTTGGCTACAGAGAGAATTTAAGGCCAGCCTTGACTACAGAGAGAGTTTTAGGCCAGCTGGACTTGACAGTGAAATTCTACCTCTGAAAACAAGACACAGTTTTCTTTTTTGGAAAAAGGAACTTGGCTCAGGTTTTCTTTTCTTTTCTTTGCTATGTAGTCACCCAAAGAAGCACAAAGCAGCTGTTGAATGTCAAGAATTGTCTTATTTATAGGTTACTACTGTGACTGGAGTAGGCATGCATAAGGTGCTAATGAGCTCCTCTGACTAGTCTGCTTGCTGTGATTAAATTTTTACATGGAAAATAATTTTGAGTGTTCAATCGTGAGTCCCAATCCTTTGTTCTTGACCTTTTCCAAGCCAGTGTGCTCAAGCATTCAGGGTTTTGTGTGCCACTGTGCAGATGATGAGTGCTTTAGCAGCATATGGTCAGCGTCTTAGGTCAGAAAATAACCTGTAATACGATATATCATCTCTTCGGGGGTACTGGAATTTTATTTATAGAAAACTCATGTGAAATTTTGAGATAAAAATATTGATTCAGGAAAGAAGAGTCGCCAAAAAGCTTTCAGCTTCTCTTGAATCTGTGACAGTTTATAAATTCCTCTATGTCCCCGAGGCAGGGAGGTGTCTCTTTAAAATGTGTTAGATACCTTTTCCATCTTGTTTATTCAATATGTCGATCTTAGTTGGGTAAACCTCGCTACTTTCTGTCTCAAAATGAAAGTCATAGAATTCTAAAATTCATATCATGCGCTTCAAAACTCTAATAATGAAAATACTTTCTCAGCATGGATGCTGGCAACTTGGGCTCACTTGGCAAGTGAGCTGAGTGGAGTTAGAGGAGGAAGCAGAGTGTGGAATTGTTGCTTTAACTCTGAAGGTTCTGCTATGGGTAGTGGTGATGTCTACTTGACAGTCTAAATTCACCTGGAGATGGGCCTTGGGACATGCCTGTGCATGGTATCCTGATTATGTTTATTGGTATGGGGAGATCTATCTTAACTGTGTTTGGGACCACTCCCTTGGCGGGGAATCCTGGACCATATAAGATGGATAAAGCAAGCTAAGCACAGGCATATATTTATTCATTGCTCTCTGCTTGTGGGCTGTGGATACAATATGACCAACTGCTTCAAGTTCCTGCTGCTTTGGCCTGCCCGCATGGTGAACTCCGAGCCTAAATGAACCTTTCTCCCTTAAGTTGCTTTTGTCATGGTGTCTGATCACAGCAACAGGAAAAGGAATCAAGAGTTAGAAATGACATCAGATTCTAGGGTTCTGTGTACTTCTCACCCAGACTCTCTGTATTGGGTGTATTTGGTGTTTTGCAAGACTTTTATCCCTTTGTTTAGGATTGTCTTGTCATTTATTGCAGTCTGTAATGTTATAAAATCCACATCCTGTCTGGATTAAGGTTAGTTGTTTGTAAGCACATAAGAAGCCGTTCGGTTTCTGTTGGCGATTGACTGTTAACCCAGTGAGGGACAAATTCAGCAGATGGCTCCATTTTCCATGTGGCTTCTCCCTGCAGTTGATCATGAACAGCTGCATGATCACTGTTTTCACTTCGGCCCAGCCTTCCACTGAGATCTTAAGTAGTACTTTTAGGAGCCAGTTATTAAAATCACAGGATTTGCTGGGCGTGGTGGTGCACACCTTTAAGCCCAGCACTCGAGGGGCAGAAGCAGGCGGATTTCTGTGAGTTCAAGGCCAGCATGATCTACAAGGCAAGTTCCAAAACAGCCAGGCCTGTTACACAGAGAAACCTTGTCTCAAAAATCAAAAACGAAAAAAACATCACAGAATTCCTTCATTATGGAGACCCCCTATGCATCTAACTTTATAGAAGGAGATGGAAAGCAGGAGGAGAGTGAAGTGGGAGAATAGGGTTTCTGTCTTAGATGGAATCTCTTGGACTTTATCCCAAGACACTCCAACCCTATCTTACTGACTCCTTCTTGAGAAGCATGGAGGAGGGAAAGATCTAATAACTCCTTTGATCTATGGCATATCTTTTCATTCCTTTTCCTCTCTTCACTTTCCCTTATCCAGCCAGAGTCCTTGCCATTTTTTGAATTATTCCTGCAGTGAGTTCAGATAGGGGAATTTTTTCTGTCTGGCTTCTCACATTTCCTCCCTCTCGATCTCAGTAGAGTTCTCAGTAGCAGCGGGCTGGCCAGAGGTAACCCATTTACCTTCACCCTCCAGTGGTCCTTCATCTGTCTCCAACTCCCACCTTTTCCCCAAGTTAGCTATTAACTAGATTGAGTTTACGGTCTGTGGACATGTATTTCCTGTGGAAATAACAGCCAGGTTATTCACCGAAGTGATGAGAGCAAGATAATTGAAAGCCTCCGTTAATTCCTCAAGGAAGAGGTTAACTCCTTGGGGTTTAGCATTTGGATTATTTTCAGGTTGTCGCTTGTTTTCCCTCAAAAGGCCTGCTTCTAGTTGGAAGACTCCAGAGTTACAGGCAAGAAGTTAATTTTGAGTCGAAAGTGAAACCCACAACTTACAAGACCAAGCATTTAAATCCAGTGCCGTTGCCAGCCATGCAGGACATAGCATAGGGTATCACAAAGACCACTGAGCCATCTCCTGTTGTCTTCATAAACTCTATAACTCTCTATCCCATGCCCTGTACACAGGAATTTCTTACATGTTGACAATATGATCAAGCAGAATATATACTAAATATGAAAACGGCCAGATTTTTCTTCTCATGGACCCTTCTGCTGATCACTTTATACTAGGTTTACAGGACTTTACTTTGTTAGAGGCTACTGAATGTTGCCCAGCCTTTGAGAAACGTATTTCCTTAAGTTAACTTGGAGAGGTTTCTAGTTGTGCTAGCCTACATAACAGTGTTCAGGGGGCTTAGCATTGAGATTCTTTTGGGATTTTCTGTTTTCATTTACCTTTGAACCCCTTTAATGGCACAAGCATCACTTGACAGTGGTCTCACCACACTGAGAGAAAAATCCAGTCTTCCTTGTGTGGTTCAACAAACATGATTTTTGGTCTTTGGAGTTAGTGAGGTCTGATGGAAACACATGCCTCAAGCACAGAGTTTCTTGGTTTTGAAATCATTTGATCAATTCTTATGCTCATAAAAGATGTAATTAATGCTGGCCTATTTAGAATTGAGAGGCACTTATGTAAAAAGACTATATTGTATTTAATTCTTCTGTCAAATCTTTGGTTTCCCTCCGGGTTTATACTATGTGGAATGTACATAAATTCTTTGAATATAAGCATTGAGGGTTGATGTAATTTGATGAAATTTAAGGAATCCCCAAATATTAAAAGACATATATAAGACACATATTTAGCTAACTTCAGAAATTGTGTAGTACATAGAAACTTACCTGTAGTTGTGAATAGAGTAGAGAGATTTCAGAAATTGTATATACCTTATTATATCTAGACTATAGTAACTGAATTATTAACAGGAGATTTTAAAGGGTCACCATTAAAATTATTAGTAGATATAATCTAGTGACCCTTCTTTTAAGAACTTAGTTTAAATGAATATATGATTATATGCATACATTTAGTTACTACAGTGATTTAAATTTTATTATCATTATTGTGACTGTTATTTGTATGCATGTGAGTGATGGAGATGGCGTGCAGGCCATGAGGACAGAGGACTGATTGGTGTGAGTTCTCTGCGTCTACTTTCATGTGGGCTCCAGGGGATAATTTCAGGTCATCAGGCTTGCATGACAAACACTTGACCTGCTAAGCTGGCCCTGTAGCAATTTGTATACTTTCAGATCATCTAAAAAAGTGCCCACCAATGGAAACATGTTTAAATTATAACTCACTTTTTGTCTGTAATAGTCCGACGCTATCTAAAGTACCAATATAGACTTCTAACAAGTTACAAAATAGTATGCAGGACGTTCTTGTTTCTTGTTAAAAAAAAAAAAACAACATTGCTTTTTCCCATATATAAACATGTGTATTTGGTAAATGTTTGACTATCACAGAAACGGGTGTGAAGAACGATTGACCAGGTCATTAACATTCAAAGTGCAAGGCGGTTGTAAGTGGGTGATGGACTGGAAAGCAGTGAGAAACTGGGTGTGTGGGAGTGCTCGCTTTCCTCCTCTGCATATTTCCACACTGTTTCCCCAGATGCAGGGTATATGTCACTTTTATAATTTTGGAACCATTATTTTAACTATTGTATTTATTATTCTTATTTGTGTATGTGTCTGTGTGTGTGGATGTGTGCTACTGCCTGTGCCCGTGCCCATACAGGGGCCAATAAAATACCAAGTGTCTTCTCTGTCCCTCTCTTGAGACAAGCTGGCAGCTGGCAAG